TCATTGAATAAAAAAAAATCTCACAAGTTTCCCAATTTCTAGAAATGGAATGCTCCAATTATCATTTAGGATGTCGACAGACAGAATCCTACGTTAACAAGTCTAAATGAAATATTTCTTGAAAGAGAAATCAACGTACCATTTAACCCAAGTTATTTTCCCCGATTGTGAATAACAATATTCATCTAGGTCATATGTTTCTATTTTCACAGCTGAATATGAAAATCATTATAACACGTCTGACACAAACTATTCATGTCCAACTCTGTGCAACACATGCATGAATTCATCATGAGCAAAAATTTTGAAAGACGTTAATGTTCTATCAATTATTAATTAAAAAAAAGGACATCAAGCGTGATTTTGCCGTGTCACGCAAACATTTGTCTCATTGTTGAAATATTCATCTCATAGCAAAAACTATTAATGCCTTTTCAAAGTTAAAAAAAAGGAAATGACTTGTCTATTTAATTCTTTTTTCTATGTAGATATGCTAAACACGATTCATTTTAAGAAAAGAAAAAATAATGAATGTCAGTGGCTTCATTAAGTAATATAAAGTGAAATAAATTATTTACTTATTTTCATGTTGAATAATGGAAACAAATATGAGTGACACAATTCTCAATACAACAAGCATTGTGTCCACGATAGAAATATCGAACAGTCGAACGTATATACAAAAACTTACTTTTGGAATTTTACAAACATGCCAAATATTATCTTTTATTGCTTATCTAATTGTTGGTTATTATTTTCTTTCTTCGCTAAAAGATTTAAAAAAAACACTTAGTTTTCATGGCATTTTTATTATACTTGTAATTAATTTCATTCAATTAACTTATGATGTGTCGATAGTTCTTCAATATTTGTATACGGGCATTTTTCGTCCATCGACTTATGCAAACTGTATTATTTGGATATTCATCGACTCACTTACGTATTATTCAAGTCTACTTCTCATGACTTGGGTAGCATTTGAACGACATTTACTAATTTTTCATTCAGCTTTATTTAATACAAAACGAGGTCGAATTTTTTTTCACTATCTACCAATAGCTGTCATCTGTCTGTATATGTTATCTTACTATTTTGCTGTCGACTTTCTATATCCTTGTGTCAACACATTTGATTTTTCATTATTTGCATGCGGTTTTATTTGTTATATGAATCTACCTACACCTCATCTTTATTCTATTGAATCGATTGCCCATCAAGTTGTTCCAACAATTTTAATTGCTGTTTTCAGTATTGTACTGTTCGTACGAGTTATACAAGCTCGAAATCGACTACGTCGATCACATGAATGGCAGAAGTATCGTAAAATGATCATACAACTACTGAGTATTTCCATCGTGTATTTGATCTTTAGTACACCATTTTCACTAAATCCTATTGCACAGGCTATGGGACTGTCAATGCTATATTCATATGATTTCTATATAAATGTTTTCAGTTACTGGACATATGGAATTGCCATTACTTTGCCTTGCATTATTTGTTTCTCATTACCGAATCTGACAAAAAAATTGAAAAAGCTTTTCATCACTCGCAATTTACGACGAGTAGGATTATATACATAGAATGCTTCACTAATCGAAACAATGCTAAACATCCACATAAGAAGAACATCAAAAATTGATTTTGTACTTGACAACTATTTAAATACATTTTTATTGTAGAGACAATAAATTTCAAGTTCATATTATTCCTATACCTTTGATTGTGTGCACAAAGTCAACATACACTAATAAATGCCTTCAAGAGATTTGTCTTGTTAAAGTAATATTCCAATAAAATAAGTATTTGACGCAATCAGTGTGAGAATTTCTCATTAAGTACCTTGTTAACAGAGGTAAAATTTCAAGCAACTATAAAAGTGTGTGGAAGAATGAACAGTTTTTCATGTTTGTTGCCCTGTTAAGAGAGATACATTACTCCTTTTTACTGAGCGATATCAGCTGTTAACAAATCAAAATATAGATACCAAATTATTTTGATATTTTAAATCGAATTCTCAAATGTATGACAAACTGACAAAAACATCGAAGGAAACTATTCACTGTCATTTAAACCCAATAGTTCTCTTTTTATTAAATTAGTGTTTCTATGTAAGATTGCATGCATCTATAAACGTACAATTATTCATTATTCATTTGTTTACTCAAACATGAATCACCTACAAAACATGACCTATTGAAAAATTTACAAAATGCGACGATCAGATCCTAAACAAATTTAAATGTTTTTTGTTTTCTCCATATTTCAGTTTGTATCGTCTACTGTTAATCCAAATTACAAATCTTATGTTTCCAACACACTTTCACTTATTATAATGGCATTGTGGTATCGACGAGAGTTCTTTTAGTGGTTTTGATCATTTCTCAAATAAGGAAAGCTGGTTGGAAAATGAAAGCAAATCGGAGAGGCACGACAGAATGAAATGATGAATGCATAGTTGTTAGATGCAGAACACAAGCATGTTTGAAGAAGACGTGTTTTTTTTTTCGATGAAAGAAAAGTGAAAATGATGGATTACTTTTTTTGCAGTATTTATCTTGAGGATGAGGATGTGGCTGCACACGAAGATGTAGCTGATGAAGTGAGGCTAAGAATCATATTTAGCAGCGTGAGTAAATGTTGTAGATAGGCAGACACCTATCACTGATAGCTGGTTATCGATATGAAGGTATTAGGGTGACGATGTGGGTGTGGCTGTGAGTGTAGGGTTGGCTCTGAGAGAATAGAAGATCCACCCACACTCTAATAAAATAGTATTGTTCATTGACCGACTTCTATATTAAAACTGATGAAATTCTTCACTAAAGTAAATTGTATGAAATTAAGTTTTATTTTACTTCAAAATAGAATCTGACTAACATAGGACTGATTCATATTGAAGAATCAATAATACAGAATCGTTAAATAATTTGTGGATTTCCATTACTATTAAATGATTTCTCTTTGAATGACTGATCAAAACAATGTGTTAAGAGTTACAACGGATGATATTCTATATTACAATACATGAGTGAATATTTATACTCTTCTATAATTTCAATGAAAATGACATAGTCCTATCGATTTTTAGAATATAATATTGTTTTTTTCGATTAAAATCACAATTTCAATAGTGTTATTATGAATATTGCGAAACTTTTCATTGACACTTGATTGATATCTAAACCATCAACTATCAATCGTAGAATATCTGAATCAATATCAAACCATTGATGTTGACAAAAATATTAATTTATTTGATATTCTAGTCACATACGAAAAAAGAAATGACAAACGACACATTTGACGCGTTTTTATGTTTTTTTTTCATAAATATATTTCGCAAACAAAGCAGACTTAGAAGTGAAGATATTTTTTGTGTATGTAATTGAGTTCAGTTTAAAATAATTTAAGTCTGTATTTTTATGCTTAAATATTTTAAATTAATTTCAATCTTAGATTTATATTTTATGTTAGAAAGTATTTTTGTTAGATTGAATTATTTTCTGGTGATCTAAATTAAGTCATAATCGATCTATTTGATAAACATATATGAAAGAGTTAAATTAATTCAGCAGCAAAAAACGTATAGAAATAGAAAAAGATTTGAGATCGGAATGATTCACATGAAAGTGTAGTTTTTTCGACGCAAAACAGATCGAAATGTATTAGTTGGAAATAAATTGATGAAACAACAAATAATAATAGAAGTAAGATAACATTATTGAAAAATCTCTAATGAATAACATGTCTCGTTGTCAAATATAAAATATATTCTTTCTTTATTGTTAAACTTTTATAGGTTGTTTTTGTTTTTGAGAATTACGAAGATTCTTTTATTTTACAGTCTAAAACCAACCAAGTTTTTCATAAATACATAGATGAATGCTATAAAAGAATTTTTATAGAAAGAAAATGAAACTGCAAATATATGAAGTATACCTGGTTGATGAAAATATTGCTTGAAGAAAAAAATATATTAGGGCAATAGATTCAAACATAAATATATTGTTATTTGACAATATCATTGTAATTAATCTGTGCATTATTACGTAGATTTTTTTTTTGATACTTAAATGTGTATAGAACATTTATATAATGTGTATTTGATTTTTATTATTTCAAGAAAACATAAGTATATTTTTGTTTTATTTTGTTTATTTCAATTATTAAATAGTGATCTAGCAGTTTGTTATTATTCGTTTGATTAACCATCACGATAAATTTTTTGTTCTGTATTCTGCACTGCTTGAACTCATTGATAGTTGACAACAGATGATTCGTCAGTGATCGATATTATGAAGACTATGCTTTTCTCCTTTCTTCACTCAGTTATAGAGATCGAATCGAACCGGGCTTTTCTGAATCGAGTTCGGGTCGGTTCGATTCGATCCGACTAGTATGAGGTTCACGTGATCACAAGTAGACCATAGGTGAAAATTTGTTTCTCAAACAGTCAAAGATATCACAGTAGGGTTTGTATTTTCATGAATTACCGATAAAATTATACATTTGTGAATTAATATAAATCTTTAATATTAATACATAAAATCATCAGTTTTTAAGTGTTGATATTAACCTCACACTATTATCCACGATTATTCATTACACTTTAGAAAAATGGCACAATTACGAAATAAAGGAATAAAAGTATTATGGCGTATCGAATGACCTATCATCATAAACAAATTTAGCCCAACTTTTATGAATAGAAAAAAAATTGCTATACATGAAGCTTAAATTAAACATGTGAAACAATCAATAAAAACTTATTTTATCTTCGTCGACCGCATCATCGTTTTTCACATCGATGATAATTCATTCGATCATTTTTCATTTAACATTAGACAATATTTCACTATGTTTTGGAGAAGCACTTTGAGTTCGGTTCGGTTCGAGTACATTTTTAAAAAATCAGTTCGAGTTCGGTTCGGTTCGTTTTCGACCTCTGCTCGGTTAGGTATATATCGTATCAAAATATATATATGTAGATAGTGACAATGGAGAGAACTCAAAAATCAGAGCCTATTGATTCTGCTCATCAATCTCGTGATGTTATTGAACAATCATCAACAAATCAACAAGGACATTTAGAACGTTTATTTAAGTATACAAATATAAATAATAGTATTTTTCTGTTCTTAAGTTTTAATTTTTATTAGAAGAAGATCAACGGCATTAAAACAATTGAATGAAAATTCGAAGTATAATAATGCTTATATTTCGTAAGTATTTGTTTATGCTTTTTAACTTGTGGATCATGATGTTCAATATCGAAATTAAAATGCTTGAGACAACATGATAACCAACATAAAAGCATGTATTATTACAAATATTAAAAAATATTCATTTTCATTTTTTTTTACAGGCACTTAGCAACGAGTTTTACATGTAGTTAACAGAGGTGTTCCAAGCAGGAAAAGTCGCTCCTTCTCTCCAAAAATTCGGAAATTTAATTTTTTTACTGGAGGATTTATATTTGTTTTCAGAAAATTTTAAAAATTTCTAAGAATTTTTGAAAAATTTCGTGGAAACTCCTAATGATTAGATATTATATCATATGGTAAATATATAAGTCCCACATTCCAGCCCCAAAGAGATTGCGCTGATACGTTTTCTTTGATTTATTTTTTTATTTCATTTAAAAATAGTGATCTTATCAATGTTCAAAGTTTGCTCGATATTCGAGAAATGCAATCTCGACAACGTAAATTACATAATGTTTCGTCATTTGAAGATCGTATTGTAATAAATGTATGTGGTGATCGTTATGAAACTCATCGTAGAACGCTTGATCTTTATCCAAATACATTACTTGGAAATCGTAAACGATGTAAATTTTATTATGATAAAAGACGTAATGAATACTTTTTTGATCGGAGCAGATCATGTTTTGAAGCAATACTTTATTATTATCAATCACATGGTCGATTACGACGACCAGATTATGTGCCAATCGATACATTTCTTGAAGAAGTTAGTTTTTTTCAATTAGGTCAAGACGCTCTTAACCAAATACGAAAAGATGAAAATATTAAAGAAGTTAAAAAAATATGTTTGCCAAAAAATCGTTTTCGAAGACATTTATGGTCAACTATGGAATATCCTGAATATTCAATTTTGGCTAAAATTATCAATATTATATCATTACTTATGATTCTTATTTCAGCTATTGCTCTTGCTGTTAAATCACTACCGCAATATAAAAATATTGATCAATTGGTTTGTTATAATTCAACAATTAATGATTTAAATAATACAAATGAAACAAAACAAGTATCGAATAATAATGAAATTATTTGTAATAATTATTTTACATCACCATTTTTTATTATTCAAAGTGTATGTGTTACATTTTTTACATTAGAACTTATTCTTCGCATAATAAGTACACCATCATTTTTTAATTTTATAAAAAATATAATGAATTGGATTGATATCGCAGCTGTTGTACCACATTATGTAACAATTGGTATTTATTTAGCTGATCGAAATGATACAATAAATAAAACAACATCTGCTGGTTTTCGTCTTCTACGCATTCTTCGTTTTCTACGTGTTCTTAAATTTTATCGTGTATGTAAAAATGTAAAATCTATACGTGCACTTGAAGCAACAATTCGAGAATCATTACCTCAGTTTTTTCTTATGATTATTATTTTAACATTATTTGGTTTCCTTTTTGGTGCTGCTGCTTATTTTGCTGAAAATAATGTAAATAGTGAAGCATTTGATTCAATAATTAAAGCAACTTATTGGGGTATTATTTCAATTACAGGTGTAGGGTAAAAAAAATAGAAAAACAAACTTTTGTTTTCAATTCTAAAAAATAAGTTGTTTTTAGATATGGTGATATAACACCTATTACACCAATCGGACGGATAATAGCAGCTTTATGTGGATTATGTGGTGCAGCAATAATTGGCATGCTTGTATCAATTCTAGTTGACCAATATCAACGTGTTTTTGCTCGAAAATTATATATAAATGAAGATATAATTGATTTTCATGAGTTTTCTGATGATGAAAATAATGATACAGATTCTAGACGTAGTTCAGGTCAATCTCATCGACGTTGCAATATGAAAGAAACTGAATGTTCCGATCTAAGAACTAAATTTAATTCAGTATTTGAAAAAGATAATAACCATACAATACCTACAATCAATATTTCATTAACACCGGATATAGAAATCATCAATGAAGATCCAAGAAATCAATATAGTAGTGGTGTTCATTTTATTATTGGTTATGTTGATAATGAAAAAGAGGAAAAGTCACGTGATCTGTTAGAAACAATAAGTTCTTTTGTTACTCAAAAACAAATTGCTGGTGATAATATAAGATTAAGTATCGTATCTGACGAAAGTTTAGATGATAACAGTGATAAAAATATTGATGATGATGATGAATTAACTGAAATTGTTACTGGTTGTGAAAAGAGAGGAAATGTACTAAAGAAATTTCAATGTTCACCATCACCAAAAAATAAAAATCAATTTGATGGTGCTGAAAAATATTAATAATTTGTTTAATAAATAAAAAGTTTTTTTTTTGTTTTATGGATTCTATACATAAAACATATTCTCTTATTTTACTAAACTAATATTATTTGGAATATGTTCCATTGTCTCTTGTTTGTAATATGATTTTTGATTCTCCAGGATTTATTTTTTAGTCCAATTTTTTATGTAATAGATAGACGTTTAAAAAAAGCCGAGTAGACAAAAATATTTTTGTTTTTAAAATGTTCCGTCATAGATGAAAACAAATAATAGATCTACTAAATATGAAATCTATGATTCAACAGTATAATCTTATATGACAAACAAGAAAAACTTTGAGCAGAGAACGTTACAGGACGCAAAATCTGTTTTCAGGCAGACTATTTTCTCCTGAATTGCATCTGCACATTCAGAAACAGGGCAATCTTTTTTTGGGGTATGGATGTGGATGTGAGTCTTCTCTTCATACTCACACTCACATTCAATAATGCCCTTCATTTTGTTGTACCTCCGTCGATCAATTTCATTTCCACTATTCATAATTATCCTTATAGCTCGACAGAGATCAAAAGTCCGTAAACAACAATCCTCTAAACAACATCTATCGGGACAATTTCATAAACATAAACATCGATTATTGAGCTCATTTATTCTAGTCATCATTGCTCTGCCTCGTCTAATTATTTCACTTATTTCCAATTGTATGAAATCTGCTCGAAACCCTTGGCTATATGTCTGTAATTATTTTATTTCATTTATTCCATCATCATTTACATTTGTACTTTTTGTTCTCCCATCTGAATTCTGTTGAAAAAGAGTTCAATGAAGCAATTACTCATATTAGAAGAACGATTCAAAATCAATTTCGACTCGAATAAGTATTACAACAAAAACACGAATTATCTCTCTGGTCGATTTATATCATGACTAAATTACAATTTTGTATCAATAAAAATTACAATTCTTCTGATATCTGATGGTATGAATATACCCTGTAAAAATAAGGTGTTATGAGTTGATAGTAGGTCATAAATCGTTTTTTTCCATTCCCGAAACACCTAATCAATGCTTTTCCTAAATCCTAAACTGTGTATAGTCGTCCATTATCTTCATAATTATGCACATACGCAATCATTCTTTAAGAACAATTCATATCAATAATTGCAATTTATCAGACATTGCTAAAAAAATAGATATAGATTCACAAGTTTTTTCTGGATAAATTTTCTTCTTCTATAATAAAACAAGAAAAGATGAGAATGATTACGTCAAATAATTGTTTGATTTATTTTCCAAGTTAAGATTTTTACCTCTTGTAACTATGAAAAATATCATTTTGTCTAGTTCGTTATAAAATAATTCAAGTCTTCCTCACAATGGATGTTCCACTTAGAATGGTTCATATACGGTGAAATTCGTAGGAGCGAGTAACCCTAGTGAGAAACGCTTTTGGTAAAAGTCTCAGTCCAATATGGCAAATTAGAGAGAACTACAAGTTTATTTATAGTCCATTTCCGAGTCTTCAAGAGAATCTTTATAAATATATTTTGAAATTATAGCTAATACATGTGCGCAGTTCTTCATCGGACAGGTTTTTGAAATTTGATTCTACTCATTTCTTTTATGGGGCAGTAGTAGGATGAAAATCTTCAGAAAAAGTCTATTAAAATTTGGTGTTTTGTTTTTGAAAAGCCATACATTTTCTGAGGGAGAAAAATTCGCCACTCCATTTCTACAAGAAAACTTAATCTCGATTATTGTTTGAAAAAAGAAAAAGGATTTTTTGAGACAAGGATTTCTTCACACATTGAAAATATAAATAGAATAATGCCTGACAACTAATGTCCGCGCCAAAATTTACAAGACGTGGGTATAAGCGCAATATCTCGATGATGGGGACAGTGCTCTAGATGAAATAAGAATATCATCCTCACCATCGAGTTTTCACAAATTCTTTCTACTCAATGCCATACCATTACACTTTTATTATTGAAAAAATTAGTCTACATATTTCGTTTATCATGGATCTCGAGGCTCACATAGAAACATCACTATATGACTTTGATAATATTTATATTGAGCATGAAGATAAACGGAAGAATCAGACCTTGATAGAACGAGTGAAGTTTTTCTCGCCTTGATTAAGTGATTACATTGTAGTGCTCGAATAAAAATGAGATTTTATTTAAATTTCTCAATCAAACTTAATTTTAACGCCAACATATTTAGGCATGACAGTCAATCCTTGTACATGTCCGCCAGCATTCACTTCGGGACCACCATCAATGAATGTAACATATTGCATTAGTCTAGCTACAATAACTTTAAGTTCAAATCGTGCCAAATCTTGTCCAATACATTGTCGATGACCACTACCAAACGAAAAAAATGCATAAGGATTATGATTTTTATCTTCACCTAAAAATCTTTCTGGATAGAATAATTCTGGATCGATCGACCAATAACGTGAATCCCTTGAAAGAGTCCATACTGAAACAAGTATTTGATCACCTTTGTACAATTGAATACCACTGTTTGGTAAACGATCATTCATAGTTAATGTTCGAGCTACTGCATGGACAGGTGGAGAAAAACGTAAGATTTCTTTGATGACACAATCTAAATAGATAAGTGAATCAAAACGATCTAATATCAAATCATGATGAACATTTTCCTTCGTCAATTCTGCCTTAATCTTCTGTTGTACTTCCGGATGTTTACTGAGAAGATGAATCGACCATGTCAAGGCTGTGGATGTTGTTTCAAAACCAGCGATAAGAAACATAAGCATCTCTCCTAATATTTCGCGTCGTATTAGACCTGTAAATAAAAACACAAATATAACAGCTCTTTAACTCTAATATACACAATCAAAATTGCGAGAAATCGCTCTGATAGTTTTTGGCGCATTGAATTTGATAAAAGTTTTGTGTTTCTTTTTATCAATTTAACTGCTGGATGTACGTTCGAAAGAGTAGATCAAATTACAATTACCTTTTTTCTCCTCTTCACTTTTTCTTTCTTCTGCTTGTTCATCTGTTTGTAACGAAGCAACCAATGAAGCAATCAATGATGTCTTCTTTCGTTGAGCTCTCGATTCTGGAGTTTCAGTTAATTCTTGTTCCATCATTCGATATAAATATCGTTTGATTGTCGTTTGAATTCGTTGATATTTCGGACTGAATTTCATATAGGCTCTGAAAAGAAAATTTGGTAAATAGGATCCTATTTCCACCATGCCAAGATAGTTTCTTAATGCTTGTGCAAGCTCATTATTTTCTGTTCCACCAAGCGCATCGAAATCATAGTCAAAACCAATGAATCCAAAAATTTCTAGTAGAAGATTTTGACTTTGTTGTAAAATATCACAATGAATTTGATCCGAAGAACTTGAACGCCAATTATTCAAAAGTTCATCTGTACAATTAATAATCAAATCGAAGTTTGAAAGAATTTTTCCATGACGAAATAAAGGCATTACGATCGAAGCATGTCGCTTGAATTTAGCATCTTTAATTCAATTTAAAAAAAAATTATATTCTTCGAATTAATCAAATAAATAGATCTGACCTTTCAGAGTAATGAGGCCATCTGGTATAAAGACACTCAAAAGTTCCACTGACCAATCATTTTGATCATAAATATGTCGATGAGTAAAAATATACTTCACATCATCTATATTACCGACGACTATTCCATGGAAAAATCCGAGTTTAATCTCATAAATATCACCAAGTTTATTTTTGAATGATGTATACACTTGTGGAAGAGAAGCTCCACGTAACAGTCCCGATTGAAGTAAATTTCCAAATAAGAAATGTCCTGGTAAACTTGGAATTGAACGACGAGAAGTAAAATATTTATGTTTTACATATAATATAAATAGACAGACAAAAACAAGCGTTAGTATAATAAACATCGCCAATATGTAATAGAGTATCAACATTGACGCATTTATAAGAAGCCGTACTCATATACACACGTGTTCGTTTATCTTTTCTTTTCTTTTTCCTAACATACTAACGGAACAGCAACGCCCATGTTATTAACGTACATAGGCGATATATTGCTATATAATTTGGAGATCGAAGGAGAATTACTATTTGCTAATCTCGTTCTTTTATTATTCATCGGTTCTATGATGTAGAAAATATACCATGACTGGTTTTCATTAATTTTCATATTTTGTTTAAAAAGAGAATCGCATGAATGCTGCATGAGTCAAAGACGAATGGAATTTGATCAAAATTAGGAAAAGTGAAGTTCGATTTCTGTATAAATTTTCTTTTCGTCATTTATGTGTTCGACAAAATTCTATTTGTTTTTGCCCAAAGGCTGATGAAAAATAGATAATCAACAAGGTATCATCAAAACAAATCTTTTTTGTTTTCAACCAGAATTTTGTTAAAACAATATGTAGCTGATTGACAGTTATAGACACTAAACACAAACCTGATGCAAGGTTAAGTCACAACAGGATGCAACGGAGAACATTTTATATTCATCAGATTGACAGAACCAAAAATCTTCATCTAACATTGTAGAAATTATTCTGTGATTGTACAATTCTTGATGCAGTGCGCATTATGTATTATTTGTTTTCTTCCAGAAAACTTACTTTATCAACAACTGATCAAAAGGACATTTTGCAACGGCGAGAAAAATAAATTAATAAAGCTAGCTTAATATAACTTTTTCTACAATTGACTACATGCAGCAGAAACTATTGTGACAAACATTGATGCTTTGCAGTTTCAAATGCCATAGATTGTCAAAACTGGTTTTAAAATCATATATATATTGGAATACAACGAGGTGGTGAAATAGCTGTAACCTAGATATTGACATTTTATACTACAGATTATTTTTAGTTCGATTGTTTGGCGTTATGATTTGACGAATTCTCTCACACTAGATATCGTTTACTATTGTCTTCGTTCGATAAATAATAGCAATTCTGCGAAAGTTAATTATCAAAATAACAGGTGATGCAAAAGTTCCCGGAAAAAATGTCGCTT